TATATGTGTGCATATATATATATATATATATATATATATATATAACAAATTACATGAAGAATGCTAAAAAAAATACTTGGAACTACATATTGAAAGAAAACCCTGCCTACCTGAGAATGTTCTCCTATGTAGAAACTTCTCATTTGGCTTTAGACAAACAGCAAGTGACTTAGAAGAGCAAAACTTATATGGCACTATGCCAGGAGCAAATACTACATTTAAGATACTTGGGAGGAAAAATATGAACAAAATATTTTATTTCTAGCAAAACTGATTTTGAAGTGTAAAAATTACTTCTTACATATCAGTTTGCAGGAATTCAGGAAACATGTTTTCCTTGAGTGCTTCCTGGGAAATGGACCACAGAATGTGCTCATGTGAGCTAAATAACTGGAAAGCTGTTGACACAAAGTCTTTGGTGAGCATTAAATTTGACATCACATCATGACCAAAGTGCTGACCAGGTTCATTGCTTGAAGCTTAATCCGCTGGGTGGATTTTCCCTCATTACTTTCAAGTCCACTCGTGTCTAATATGGCATCAGTGAGTGTGGTTGGCCTACAGCAAGCTGATCCTTCTGTGAATAAAGCCTGGATTTCCTTTCCCCTATTGGCTGATGGTAGTGAACTCCAATTAAGTCATAGATTGTGAAAGGGAGAGGTGTTAGTACCTTGGAGGTAAGTGATTTAGAGTTCTGGGCCATTTTTTCTTGAAACTTGGGAGCCTGTGGACCTGCTTGGGAGCCATCCTGAATGTACCATGGATTATTACCATGCTGGCCAGGCTGGTGGCTTGGTGAATCTGACAGTACTGAGCTTTTGTGATGGGCAGCTTTGGTGACATGGTTGATATACAATGTAACTGATTAGTTACTAAGTCACTTGGTGTGGTACCCTCTCTCACTGTGGCCCCACTAAAACTTAGGAATAGGTTAAAGCATTGTCCCCATGTATTTTGTGTTGTCTCAAAAATCCAGAAGGCTGCCGAGTGCTGTAGCTTTTTTAGTGGTAGTAGGAGCAAGATACAATAATTTATTCTTTGGAGAGCGATGTCTTAGCATGCCCCAGTGGTAGAACTTAATAACTTCACCAATGTAGTAGAACTGAGTTTTTGTGCTTTACCTCCTACCAACTGGCATACATTTGTCTTTAGAGGATGTCTTGAGTATTTGCCACTTACCTTCTTGCAGGTTTA